AGGCCCCCGCGCTGATTGGCCGGCGCCGCGCCCCGCGCGCGCTCCGATTGGCTGACACCGCGCGCCCCGCGCGCCCCGCCGCCCCGGCGCTTCGAATCTTCCAGCGGCCCCCCCCGGCTGTTCCGCCCGCGCGCCCCCGCCCTCCCTGCTGCGTCCCCATTGGCCGCCGCCTGTGTTTTGGCTGCGGGCTCCGCCGCCATTGGCCGCTCGCGCCACGAGGGGCGGGGCGGTCCGCGCGGCGGAAGGGCCTTCCCGCTCGCCGATTGGCTGCCGACGCCTGCTGTTTTGCTCCTTGTCTCAATAGAGGGAGAGCCGGCGCTTGTGACGTCACGTTCATTGAGGCGCTTCATTGAGCGGCGCGCGCCGCGGGGGGGCGCCCTGACGCGCTGCTCCCCCGCCCCCCCCGGCTGTCTCGCGTGGGGGGCTCGGGGGGACCCCACGGCGAGCCCCGCTTCCCTCGTCCGTGTTGTAGAGCCCGCACAGCCACYGGGGCCGTGAAGGGCTCCGACACAGCCCAGATCTTTGTTGCGTTTTTGGACACCAGCTTTGAAATATCGACCTGGGAGTCGATAGTTCTACTGCCCGKTTGGAAGCTGGAATAGGAAATAGAAAGGAAATTTCCCGCAGAATTCCTGCGTGAAGTGGGTGCTCTGCAGCGTCTGCTGTGTGCACTGCCTGCCTCGTGGGCCTCTCATGAATCGGGTGGCAGTGGCACTTGCTGGAGCCAGATGTCGTGTTGAGCCGGCGTTGGTGCCCGTGGCAGCGGGCAGCTGCACCCCCGCTTTGGGGTCACTGGGAGTGTCCCCTCCTCRCCCCCCTGGCCACACCGCTGGGCTCCGTGTCCCTTCCCGGCACATTTGCTCCCTGCCCATGGAGGGATCACGCGTTGCGCTGTGCTGCAGAGTGCGCGGGGTCCCGTGGGGGCCCCGGTGTGAGGGGCGGGTGCGCGGTGGCCTTGGCTCGTGGCCACGCGTGGGCACCCACCGCGTGGTGGGCTAAGCTGCCCCTCCACACGTGCCGCCCTGGCATTAGAGCCCACGTGTAACGCGCTCAAGTGGCACCCGTGCTGCTGCGCTGGCTCTGCAATGGGTCTGTCCCTCCCTGCCACCTCCCTGGGGACAACTTGAGGGTGTCCGGCGCTGCCGGGGGCTACTCTGGGAATTGGACCTGTCTAGTGGGGGCCAATGGGTTATGCTGGAGCGGATGAGCCACCCWGTGTGTCGCTGGGATCCCGGGGATGTCCTGCCAAGGGGACTGGAATGCCGCTTGGCTCTAGGGTGCTCTATGCGTCTCCAGCGCYCAGCGGCCACTCCATCCTGTCACCCCTGTGGGTGACATGCCTGAGGGGGGAYTTAGCTCTTGTCCCGTGCCCCCAGAGCAGCCCTGGGCAGGGGAAGATCTCACTTGCGGTGGACAGATGGTGCTGGGAGGATCCCGGGACGGGACAGGTGGGTGTCACTGTGATAAGGAGTGACAGGGGGACAGTCGGCCGGAGGGATTGGTGAGCGACCCTGGGCGCAGGCGGGTGACACGGAGCGGGGAGCCTACATAGATGATCTCGGGGGCGCTTAGCTGGGGAACGGCAGCGGCGAGCGGAGCCAGGAGGCTGCCGGGGGGGGGACGTGAGGACAGCGGCAGCCCCCCCGGGCGGGGCGGGGCGGGGGCGG